TAAGCAGCTAGGGTGTTAGTCTTAAATGAGTATCTTAGAGCTAATACAAAACTTAAGCCTAGGACTACAGCTAGATGAATATGTCTAAATACACAAATTAATTAAGAAGCAGTGAAATGACAGCTGGCATTAATAGTAGCATAATAATAAGACTAGACCTAGGAATTAATTATAATAGTAATAATGTCCAAATATAAAGATTAAATAAGATACAGTGACATGCAATCTAGCATTAAAAGTAGTACAATAGTAGAACTAAAACTATGAGTTAATTCTAAAAAGGCTAGTACTACGACTATAGTATGATTAGTAGTTCGAGGAATGTTGCTTACAAGGAAACCCCCCCAACCCGACCCCACCGATTTCAATAACTTTTTGATATGTTGTAGTACCCGACAAAATAAGAGACACGTATTTTTTTTTGTGTGCTGACATTCACTTTAAAGGGGTGAAAACGACCCCTGAAATTCACCCCCGAAAATCGTTTTTTCATCATATCTCGACTTCTAATTAATATTTTTTAATAAAACCAAGTGGAAAATATTTGTCATAAGAAGTCGAAGATATGAGGTTTGTTAATGACCCAAGGGGTTGCAACCCTTATTTTATATTTTGAAAAAACTATATTTTTTATGCTCTTTTTCTGCATAAAAACCGGGGTATGCGCTCAAAAAAATAAAGAAAAGCGTTTCCGTTAACTCCATCAAATATTTCAGTTGGGGTGTTTCAGGATTTTTCAAAGGGATAAAAACCACCCCTAAATTTTACCCCCGAAAATTGTTTTTTATCATATGTCAGTTCAAACTTTGGGCTCACAATGTTAATAAAGGTGGCACGTACCGAGAAAAAATTGCACGGATTTGTCAATACACACTTGATAATTTTAAAGCTGCTGTTGAAAGTGGTTTAATTATTCACGATCACGATATACGGAGATGGGCGTTACAAGCTCAAAAAGAAATTGGATCTGAAGATGTAAGATTTAAAGCTTCTAAAAATTGGTTAGCGAAATTCAAAAAGGCTCACAGAATAGTGTCTAGAAAAATAAATAAATTTATTACTAGGAAAACATTGGAAAATACTTTAGACCTCCAAATGATGGCTGATATGTTTGTTGCTGATGTGAAATCTTCTATACCATCAATTGCAATTGAAAATTTATATAATTCAGATCAGAGTGGGTTCCAATTAGAAATGCATTCTGGAAGAACATTAGCAGTTGAAGGAGAAAAGCAAGTGCAATGAAGTCTTTAGGTTTTAAGCACTTTTTTGAAGATAATCATTATTGTCAACACTTTGAAGAATAAAATACTGTGACTTACAATTAATTATAAAAATGCAGTAAAATACAAAGCTCAAGGGGGCTATGGAGGTCACGATAAGAATATCGGGAAAGAATTACTATCAGTAATGATTATTCCTTTTCAAGAGATAGGTAGTAAGAAAATATATATGATTTATAACTAAGGATACAATAAAAATTCTGCGCATGCGCATATCAGCCCAATTTTACTTCTCGCACTAGTGCTTTCTTCTCGCACGCACTTCTCGTACGCACTTCTCACACTGTGTAGCGTTTTGTTCTCGCATGCTGTCACCACACACCTTCACTTTGGAGTTACGAAAAGTAACACTTCTCATTCATTTGTTACAGAAAATATTATGTGATGCTGGTACAATAAAGCGAACATTACATGCAGATCGTGAAGTTTGTCACACTCGCCGCACTCGTACCACAAGCAGTACCAGAGAGAGCGAGAGAGAGCGAGAGAGACCGAGAGAGGGGGGAGTGAGCGAGGGTGAGAAGGGGAGAGAGGGGAGGGAGAGAGAGAGAGAGAGAGAGAGAGCGATGGCTATGAGCAGACTGAAGTCAGGCCAAGCCATGCATATTAGATGTCACGCGCTGAGAACAGTCACGCATTAACTGAAAACTCCAATATCCTATGATACTGTAGGAAATATTAAGATCTGTCGCAGTAGGTAAATCCGTAATTTGTCACCTACAAGTATTACGTAACTTGGTGTGGGCGATAAAAGCGTTACATGTATCTGCTATTTTCTCTCAGATCCCGTACTATGTCAGCACTAAATACTTCCTAATTTCATTTTATGATTAATGTTATTATTGCAAGACTGAAGCGTATTATGAATACGTCGATGAATTACCCTTTTCCTGTGGAAGGAGTGTTCAGGAAAAGAAGAGTCCATGAAAATATGATGGCAGCGTACGCTGGTAACTAGATAAAGGAACGGACATTGACGAGGAATCTGAGAACTGAAATAATAGTTATAACATTATCTTTGAATCCTACAGTAAAAGTTGTTAGATACAGGACGAATCGCTGATAGACACTTTTACATGTTCCATAAAAGATTCAGTACAGGTACGTATGGTAAAACTATGCAGTATTTAATTACATGTTTCACGGCAAATTACGCTCAGGTTTACGAAGGAAACACTCAGTCTGCTGCATAGATCCAAAACTGATATGAGATCGATCTTTCCCTACAGTGATTGTGGCTTGAAGCAATATTCTATAGAGGATCTGTGTCGCTCTATTTCCTTACTGCACAAATAATATCATACTCAGATTAATTTTGGGCCTTAATTTTTCATTCCTCGTTCCTAATTTCTCCGGTAGTTTTTCCGGTACTTTCTTCAACTTCTTTCGGTACTTTTTCTGGGATTTTTTCTGATACTTTTTCCGGTAATTTTTCCCGTATATTCTCCCACTCTTCCTTCTGCATATCTACCTGTACATTATTCTGTACGTCTTACTGGATCTGGAAGGAGCTCTTCGCTTCGTCCTTAAGGTACAAATGTCCTTCGTTCATATGAAAGGAGTCCTGGTGTTCTTCGAACTTAGTTTCTTCGTTACTTCTTGCGGGATTTTTTCCGATACTTTTTCCGGTACCTTCTCCGGAACTTTTTCCGACACTTTTTTCCGGGACTTTTTCCGGTACTTTGTCCGGTACTTCCGGGATTTATTCCGATACTTTATTCTGTATTTTTTTCGGGACTTTAACCGTTAATTTTTTCTGTACTTTTTCTAGGACTTTTACCGGTACTTTTTCCGGGACTTTTACCGATACTTTTATTGGTATTTTTTTTCTAGGACTTTTTCCACGATTTATTCTGGTACGCTTTTATCGTCTATACCAACTTACATAATACTTGTAGGTGACAGATTTCAGATTTACCTACTGCGACAGATCTTTATTATTTCCTACATTATCATAGGATATTGCAGTTTCAGTTAATGCGTGACTGTGCTCAGCGAGTGATATCGAATAGCCATGACTTTGCCTGGCTTGAGTCTGCCCATAGCCACCGAGAAACAAAAGCGAGGAAAGAAAACTCAGAGTTTGTAGATGTCTACGTTTTTGTTGATGCCTAGGTCAGATTGGTCAAGTTTGATCTGCTCCCATTTAAAAATTAAAAGCTTCTGGACAAAAGGAAGGTCATTTTCGTTATCAGTGAAGCCTCCCGAACACCGCCATACCCTTCGGGTCAGGTAGTTTCGGAACCTCCTGTATAAAAATGTTAGGGTTCTCCTGTAAATGCTTTGATATAAGAACTACCAATATTGCACACTTAAACTTACTACTTCCGTTGAAATTTACTTCGTATAGGAATGCATGCTATCGTAAAATTCCTGGAATTTGATACAACAAATGCGCAGATTGACCTACAATCTCACATGTGACCTCACATCTGTGTCTTAAATTAATAAGGTATGCGCTGAATGTATTTCATCGCTCCTTCGAATATTCGATACTCCAGTGAGTATGTGTGCGTGCGTGCGTGTGTGTCTACGCGCGCTCGTGTGTGTGTGTTTCTCGACTCCAGGAGGCCTATCACGGTTCTCTGATGAGTTTACTCTCTTTTCACTTTTTCATCTCACGTGATTTCGGTCACCCAATCACAGAACGGCTGAATGAAAATAGGAGATCCCTACGGCACTTCCGGTTAGTGATCACAGATTTTCACGACCTCACTGCTATTGACGCCATTATTCGAAGTAGCGTTGAGAGTGAAAAAAACAAATATGAACGTTACGGAAAGCAGAAGGGTATTTTATTGCACCATATGAAGGAGCATAGAGATTTTTAAAGAGGCCGTTTACGCTATAGCAGCGAGAATAATTCATTTTCCGGTATCATAAATAGATTTCAGGCATCCCGTAATCTTCTACGTATTCAACATTCTATTTTCATGATTTGGCATAAATAGTACCACCATTAAATTATCCATTTTATTCGTTAATTTCTCCGTTGCTCAAGTAATACTGCTACCATCTACGTACGCGTTATTTTCGAGGCAAGCTGCGTCGATTTCACCTTTTCACGTGAAATTTCGTGGCGAGTCTCGTCACGCGAGCAGTCTCGTATTTTCACGAAGTATGATTGATTGTAATTGGATGTGTCTCTCACATTTGTTATTTTCAACCAATCCGAAAACCGTGATAGATCCCCGGAATCGAACGCTTATAGGAACTTGTAGGTTTGGTATATTTTGTACAATTTCATAGAGCACCACGGTACCTGTAATCCTCTTGCCTCTCTGCTGTCGATTGAGAAAACGGTATCAAAGTGGGTTCTCAACAGCAGTCAGTTGTAGTCATCCTCATTTCTTTTTCAGCTTCGCTGTGAGTGATTCCAGGTGGTTCTTCCTATTCATCAGCCGCATAGTTATGTGTTTAGAGAATAAGAGATGTAAACTAACTAGCCTTATCGCTGCCAGTTTATTAATCGTGTCCATGAAGTATCTTGACGTGGTTGCAGTGATGTTTTTCGAGCGGTAAGAACGTCCCAGCAGAAAAGCAATAGATTAAAAATGGTAATTTTCAATGTTACAGCATAATGACAATACTATGATGTCTCACAATATCCATGATAAACATAGATTTGTAGCCATGAATAAATGTATACCGAAGCTAATTAAACAGTAACCTACAATAAAAAAACTAATTGTCTTAATTTGTTTTAAAATATTGCAGTTGAGGCACGATATGATCGATCAGAAAGAAGGAGAAACAGTCTTCGCAGTGAAAATACATTATGATAATATGGTAAGTAGATTTTCAAAACGTTATTATTCGTCAAGTATTTGAATTTCTGAAATCGTAAAGTATCTAATGCAGTACAGTCTCAATCGTTGCACTCTTTATCATCGCACTGGTACCTCTTAACGATACATGATACTTGTATCAATAGAACGAATCGGAAGTACCAAACCGAAACCCCTCTACCAATTAATAAATTGGGAGTCTTCACCGGAGCTGATGCAGCTAATCTGTGAAGGCCGAGAACTGTATCCAGACGACGCTCTAATGGACATGGCACTAGGGCACAGCACTACACCTCCGGAAAACACGCAGAAAGTCCATACAAATTCCTGGGTATTGCGAGAGCAATGCCAGAACTACATAGGCAAAAACCTTCTATACCGTATCGGAATCACAGCTAGAAAAGCTATCAACAGATATCACGGAAGCACGAGTCAGCTCGTGACACCTCAACCGGTACCCAAGACAGACTGCTGTGACAATAATCAAATTCGAGAACTAATCATTCTGATTGGTCGAGATCCTTATAGCCGATAACTCTTCTCCTTCCCCTCGAGTCGTCCCTTTAAACCAAATCGAGGGCATCACTTAGCGAATCGGTACGTATCAGCTGCAGATCCTCCATGGCTACTTCCCCAGGGTATCGAACGATAGCTGGGTACCAGGCTAGCTCAGATCAGGGGTTCCCTCCCCTGCCCTTAACCATATAAAAACCTTATATCCGCCCGCTCTACGGCCCTTTACCTCTTTCCAGCGGACCGCCAGTATTTCACCCGGGCTTCTGCCAGTCCATGGAGACGTCTTCGTCGGATACTCTCCTCTGCCGGGCAGCTCGGTACGTCGAGACTATTCCATCATGGCAGATTCGAGCATCTCGACCTTTACTAAATAATATCAAATCTTCTGAGAGCATTAGCGTAACTATACGAATTAACCCGAGAGCGTAGCTTCTGAACAAGGAGGCGACTCGAAGGGAACCAGAAAGCGAGAACGTTATTTGACCAGTAGCTGGAGTCGCCTTGGGACTGTTATCTCACTGCCTCTATGTTTACGGTACGATTCAATTACATATCTTGTATCGTGGCGTTACAGAGCTGGAGAGGATGTCCACCTAGGAATGACCGAAAAATAAATAAATAGGACTTATCAGGTCGGACAGTGGGTTTGGTGGGTTCCCGACTTGGCAGTCCGAAGGTGTCGGGGTCGATTCCCGACCAGAACTCCTAAATTTTCGGAAATTCCTAGCCCTCTAGTGCTCCCTAATGGCTCTGTGGATAAATTAATTATAGCGGGGACGAGCCGGGCACCCAGTTGAACTGAAATCTTTAATAGACTTACACTTGGCTTTGTATAACATTTTTTACTTTAAAGTATGATTTACACTGTAACCTAATTCTTGGTTTGATTCAACCTAGAATAGGGGTTAGTCGCAAAAGCATTGATCGTTACAGGGAGGGCAACCAAAAGAAGGGAACACGGAGCATGATGCAAAAGAATATTATTGATAATAAATACCAATACAAACGAAACAGAAAATAAAATAAATCAGAAGATAGTATGATTCGAAATACAATAACTCAAAATATAATAGAGTCTGGATACGCAATAATAGGCTAGACACGAAAACAATAACACTAGGGGACTATCTCGAGAGCAAGCAGTGTAGCAATTGCGGCTTTAAACGGGCCGGTGGTAAGGGGAGTCAAACGGGAAAGAAGGACTTACCGGCACTAGAAAATTTCTCGAAACAATAATTGGACGCCGGGTACTGTCACGGTGTAGCACCATCGAGTGAGCTATGAAGGTCCTCGAATGTTTACTTTACTCTACTCGATGGTTAGCTGAAAAGGGTGTAAAACACTATCGCAAATTCGCACGCAGCACAGCACTCGGCGTCGCGATAATGACAGAACCCCGGTCAAGAATTCAAAATTGTTATAACTCAAAATGCCGGTCTGCGTGGGGCATATCACATAAGGGATCTACTAAATACAAAAGGGCGCGAAACGAGAGGATATGGAAAACGGGAAAAACAGGAACTCAATCAGAATACAAATGTACTCACTCAAAATCCGCAGCATACACAATATCCAGAAGAAGTGAACTCTTCTCACTCACTCTGAAGCTTTCGCGACAATATCCTGGCTCGATGTGAAGAAATCTTCGGGGTTTCCGGTTCTCGTCATTTCTCTTGATGGGCCTCCAGGGCCTCGGGGATTGGCTGGACCACTGGATTGAGAAGGCTACGCGCTTCGGCATTGGTCCGCAATTTGGGCATGGCTAGGCTCTAGTGCCTCTGCTGGTCACGGTCCTGACAGGCCTCGCTGATTAGAAGTATGATGCTGGACTCTCGCCGGCACACTGGTATTATAGTCTACGCGCCGGACAATATGGCGACCTCCATAGCCTGTCAAAATCCTCCCGGGTGCATCTGCGAAGTTGGAGGGAGGGGCTCCATCACTGTAACATAGGCCTCGTGACTACTCCTGTGATACTGCACCGGGGGCTGCAACCATTTCTGTTCGAGGTGGCCGACTGACTATTGTGCCTCAATTTCGCTTCGTGGTCTCAATAAGCTGTTCCACCTGCTCATAGCATCCCCACATTCCGCTGTCTAGGAAACGTAGCCACTCTCTCTCGTTTGTCACATCTCTGGTGGTGTCACGATCCGACTCGATGATCGTTGATTAACAAATTTATATTTTTGGTGGGCTCCAGGAAATATTGGTGGGTTTCTTCAGCAAAGAAACCGTCATACAGGTTGTGCAAAGAATACATGTATTTCACAAGAGATGTGTCGTGTACAATGTCCAGACTGTTGTGAATCCAAATGTTGGATTTACCAGTTTGACCATCGGAATGGATATTCGGGAGTCGGGTACTTTGGGATTCGTTGCCCGAGTAAAAAGTTGGAACTTAATTCTCGAAGCAAGTAAAAGATTTATTGAACACAAAATGATTACGTTAGAATACACTATTAGAAATGAAAGCGTTAACGTGATGAGCACGAAGGTCACGAGGCCGAGGTTAGTGCTTTGATTAAATTACCATAGTAACACTTCACTCGTAGATTTCCTACTTCGTCTGACGTGCCGACAGGCCGACCGCTTTATATATCTTATTTATGATATTTTTCAGAGACGCAATAACCAAAGGATTGTTTTCTATATTTCGTCGTAGTATCGACAATGCGTCTCCTTTGTTTCCATAGTATTTAGCGGATGGAATGGGCCACGTCGCAGCGTAACCATTCCGCCGCTTATGACGTAGGCGCGTTACCTAATTTATATTATGCTTTACAACAAGACAACTACTACTTAACATAGAGAAGGTTCGTCTTTTTATACGAAGAGGAGTGGTGTAAGGTAGGGTTTGAAAAACGGGAAAACCTAGTTTGGGAGTAACGGCATTCCAAAATGGAAATCGGCAAAGGTATGGGTTTTTAAGGGTTTTAGCATTAAAAAGTATGACGTCCGAAGTATTAGAAGCAAAGGGCGGAGTTTTATGAAGGGTGGGGATTAACAGCTGTTAGAAAAATGGAGAACTATGAGAAACGGTACACGGAATGTGACAATGGTCTAATCTAATTAATGTAACGCCCCACATTCTCTTTCTAGTGATTATATTATATCTTTTAATATAAATAATTAACAAAAATACTAAACTCGATATTTTTGTTTGATTGCAGAAAAGGGTGATAATAAGGAAGCACAATTACTTCTATAAATCAATTGAAAGAACACCCTTCTCTTTGGGGTTGGCATTGCCGGAAGGCTACGGCATGTATGAGCTACTTGCCGAACAAGAAATAAAACACTCCATAATAAATGGTAAATATGAAAATAAATACATTATTTTAACTTACTGTTCTATGTCATATAACAATTTGGTGGCAGTCTTACTCTAAAACAATATGGTAATCAGTAGATGATTGGATAGTAAAGGAGACCTATTCCAAAATCCTGAGAAACGTTTTTATACCTTATAAGAAAATAAAATGTAATAAACGGGACTGAATGAAATAGTAGAAAAATTCATGAGGTGCATGAGTGAGCAATCATTAGAGTTGAAGTGGTTCCCAACTGACGCATGGTAAACGTTGACATACGTTCTTGGAGAAACTGCATTGCAGTATGATACTCCCTAACAGATTGCTGCATAGAGAATTAATGACCCAGTAAAGAAACTGCATAGAGATTACACTTGAAAAGATTTATGTCTCTCAAGTATAAATATGGCTATGATAGCCGTGAAATATGGTTTACATAGTGACCGGTATATTGTATAGGTGCAGTAGACATTTTTTAAAGGTTACACGGCGAAGGGGGAGGGGAATTTTGTTGTAGGGAAAAGGCTTTTAATGTTCCGTATAATACTATTCCATAGAACAATTAAAAAATGTTATTCAATTCATTTATGTATCAATTCATCACAAAGTAAAATATATAACTAACAGATGTATTTTAATCATTTTATTATGAGAAGTAACCTTATCACTAAATTTACGACGAAAAAAAGAACAGCATTTAACACATTTTATAAGCACAAATGAACATTATTAATGTGTTTCATAGAATCCTTAATACTTGATCTGTAAAAATGTGTAATTTCTTTTATATTATTATTAAATAATTTAAGCGATAATATAAAAATTTTTTCCAAAGCCTTGTACATTTAATGTGGCGCAGACCAGCACCGACGATCCCATCGTATAGTACGTTGTATTTGATTATTATAAAAGGTAATAAGAGTTGTTTTCTCAATTGAATCATTAGTTTGTTATAGCGAGAAGTTACTTTTTTTTATGATATTCTATTCCTCCGCAAACTTAGTCTAATAAGTGATACATACTGCAACAAAAATGTTACTGCAGACTCCTCCCCGCCACCTGGCTGGAGGGTAGCAACCACTCGCCTCGAGCATTGCGTATTGCGTATATTGCTGTTCATTACCTATATTTAGTGTTTTATTATCATTGTTAGTAACGTAAGACCCTTGCCTTTTATCCCTCCCTCCCCACTCTCACTCGCTTGAGGCATTGGCTCGGATACATCGAGGACCATCACCGAGGATGAACAGCCATCTTCAAGAGAAGGACCGAGAGAGTGGCTACGTTACTTAGGCATAGAAATGCAGGGAAGGCATGAGCAGGAGGCCCAACAGCTGATCGAGACCATGTGGAGATGATACCCGCCAGCCAGCCACCCTCACCATGTGAATGCAACCGCCGTGCAGTCCCGTCACATGGACAGTAAAGAAGCCCGTGTGATAGCGGTGGAGCCTTTTTGTTCCAACTCCACGGACGTGCCCGGGAGGAGTTTGACAAGCTATAGAGGCCGCTATATTGCCTGGCGCGCAAGCAGCCAACCAGCGTGGCGGCGAAGTCAACCCTGTGCCACCCTGGAGCGAGATTCTGAAAGGCCAGCCAGCATCGTATCAACGGAAGGCGCCAGAGCCCTGCCATACCCAAATTGCGGACCAATAACGAAGCACATAGCCCTTTCAGCCCAGTGGTTCGACCAATTTTCGAGGCCCTGGAGACCAACGAGGACAAGAAACCGTGAAGAACTCTTCACCTCGAGCCAGGCTTTTCGAGTAAAACGTTGCGATTTTGAGTGAGTGCGAGAGAAAGGAGTTTTGAGTGCAATTATTGGATTACTGTGTGTTGCGGATTGCTGACCCTGAGAAAATATCATCCCAGTACGTCACAATACATATATTAATTTGGTTAACTTCATTCTATTCTCAGTTGTTAATTCAATTAAATATTTTGCCGAATCAATTATAAATCCGAGGTACCTACACCGAGTTGAAAGCGTTAATTTACTTTTCGTGTAATTCGAAAGAAAACCTGATGATGTTGGTAGTTTTATCGTTTCTTCAACATTTTTACTATAATACATTTATCAAAACTCTCCTCAATACACGTTATATCTACTAAATAAATTACGGATGACAGTTCTCTAGCTCTTAGACATTGAATAATCGGTTTCATTACCTTGGTGAAAATATATGGACTTGTGCATAGATCAAAAGGTAAAACGCTAAATTGAAAGAGTTTTCCATTAAAAGAAAATCGTTAGTATTTTCGACTTTGTTCGTGGATGGGTATTAAAAGGTACGCGTCCTGTAAATCCAATGTCTCTATACAATTCCCCTCGCCACGATCCTCCGTCGTCGTAGACATTCTCTCGCAGGCTTTCGTCGGCGACAACCCCATCTCTTAGGCCTCTTCGCCCACCGCTGGCGGGTATATAAACCTCGACGTTTTACGAATCGGGCATTCCTTCATCTGAGCTAGCTAGCTTACCTTTAGCAAAGCAACGAGCAAACCATCTCGGGCAAGCGGGCAAACCGTCTCATTTGACCATAATTTATAAAGGTACTTCAACTCTCGTAATCGAGTAAATCGTCTCGAGCAAGAAGCAAACCGTCTCTTCTGCCAGATAGAATCAATCTCTGCAATTCAGTCGAGCCGTCACTTTGACAAGTTCAATCATTGTGATCCTTCCACTATACATGCCACCCTAGCTTTAGTTAAAGACCCGCACAACTGACTACTCTGCGAATGAGACTTTTCTCACCTCTCCGAGATAGTGACGTTATTTTGGAAAAGACCACGTCTAGCGGTGATCAGGACTTCCGTAGTGGAAGACTGCTCAGCAGCACGACGCTTATATTTTAACAAGTCAACTCTGTAATAAATTTTGCCAGTTAGAGGCTCCTTTTAGAGACGATTCCCTTCTAATTTATACAATCACAAGAAGAGTAAATATAGGATCACACGAGGATAGCACCTATTATTCCCGTTCCCGACAAACGTATCGTGTAGATAAACCGCGTCTAATCATCGTATTGATACTATTTACTTTCCGATTACTAATCTTCATTATACGCCATTTATAATAACTGTTACCTTCCGCTTACGCTCATTTCTATTCTTCATTTACTAACATCCAGCATTCTCTAGGCTGGACCTGCACTAACTCTTCCTGTATTCCGTTGTAGGACAATATACTTTTCATAACACGTCTGTCGAAAGTTTGATTTTTAACGACTCCGAAAAGTCGCAAAAGCAGTCGGTTTTCGAGTTCGGCTCGGTTCAAATAGGATCGGCTTGGTTCGGCTTTGTCCGACTTGCTTCGGCTCACTTTCAACACTAATGTTGAAAGTAATTGCTCCGTTCGGCTCGGTTCGGCTAGGTTCGGCACACTTTTGAAACAAGTGTTGAAAGTGATTAGTTTACTAGAGTATATTTGTGATATAGATCTAGTAATATAGTTCAATTCTAGGGGCCGTGGCTCGCGACCTCAAGGGTATAAAAAGTCGCGAAATCGGGGTAATTTCAGTCAGTCTTGCCCCGACTGACCGACCAGTGACTGGTGAATTGCAAAAGTGGTCTAACGACCTCGCTTCAGCCTCCTAGTCTCCCCGCAGTAACCTAGGTTCCGCTGCGAGGGACCCTGGTAAGGACTTTCGGCCGGTCTTAATAGATGCTCGGTTCTTAGCCCGTGCATGACTAAACCTCGTAGCAGTCGTCGAAGACGGAAGGCAAACGCTGCCCGACGCCGAGGAGCAGTCGCCAGGTCTTACGGATGGAAGGCCTTGAACATAGCGCCAGTTGAATCCATCTGGAGGACTCGCCGTCCGGACCCGCATCCTGCCGGGAAGCCCATCTTTGCCCCGGTCTGCGAGTTCACCGACACGCGGCCGTTTTGGCGGTACCACCGTCCGGCCGTCCAGAGGACACCAATTCCGGCGGTCGTCAGCCCACTACCTCCCACACCGGAAACTCCGGGACGTAAAAACCGACGTTCAACCGCTACCTTCGACCCCCAGAAGACCAGACGCGAAGGGAGAAATTCGAAGGCGTTCCGAACGCGTAAAACGGCGGTTAACAGAACTGTTCGACACTCCGTAACATTGTTATGCAATAAAAAAAAGGCTGGACATCCTCAGAATTGTTCTTATCTAAATCGTCCATATAATTGAGCGTTAACAGTCCGTGCAAGTTCACATACGAAATTTTTAACCAACAGTGATCCAAACTGACACCTCTTTGCCACTCGTGCAGTAGAAGTTATAAAATTTCTTACCGCTCGTGTAAGTTAATGATATGTCTAACATGTTTTGCCGCCCTTCCAACGCGTTAGCTGACTAATATTCTCATTTTTACAACGCTGAACTTTCTATAAGAAAAGAACAAGAAAAACTACTTACAGCTTCTTCAACTTCTCGGTCAAGAAAACTAGTACCGAAGCCACTATCATCCTTTGCAGAGACTGATTCAGACGTTTGAGCCTCTGAAGGATCTTTATTAGATAAAACATTTTCTTTATTTGAATTCACCTCTAACCAATTAGTATCCGACACAATATGGCCGCTCTCTCTCTATCTGTTCCTGATGAAGTATCTTGCTAGGACTGGTCTTTGTCTCACTTGTTCCAACTGTTTCAAATTCCTTTCAAATTTTTTTCGAGTTTTTGTATAATCGCTTTATTCGTTTCTCTTTGCCCTTACTTTCCCGCGATCTTTTACCCATAATTAATTATCTGTTTCTATAAAACTACTTTTAATAACCAAGACCTGAAGTGCCTAGAGGGACTGTCTGGTGGACGAGGAGGTAGGAGGGAACGGAGGGCTTACTAGCGCTAAATATCTTCGGAAAAACGAGAGGAGCAGGGTATCTCAGTAAGAAAGATTCTCGAACGTAATGGCTTCTTAAAAAGTTATCTCGGATTTTACAATGATCTCAAAGGCGGCCG